CTTGCTTTCAGAGCGATGCTGTAGTCATAAAAACGAATGATTGATGCAGTAATATGCATTGCATGACGCATTCGCATTGTATGAAGGCATCGTTGTTTGATTCTTACTTCTGATTTCAGTTGAATGCTTGTAACAAGCAACAGTGTTTTCTCGAAGTGTACTTGAGAACCTGTTGTAATTCACTTTATACTTTAAAATAATCGGCTGTGTTTCAGCTGTTGGCTCATTAGCAGCGTCTTTACGTAATTTTTATGACAGATGATCTGGTTTAGAGGCAAAACCGAATACGAGAAGACTTCGCTGTCGATGTGTTCAAACGGTGCGTTAACGCGTCGTCTTTTCCTACAGAGCAACGCAGTGATTCCGAACGGCCGACGGATAGGACAGCGGATTTGCGGAGGACTTTATTCCCTACGGCAGAGGGGAAGGACTCTGATCGATTGCTCGTCTCATCATGGAAAGCTGACGGTGCTGCTGTTATGTCTTCGACGACATGCTCAGAGGCTATTGTCGAACCAGGTTTGCAGCCAATCCTTCCGAATAACGTAGTCGCTCCTGGTACGGTGAACTTTGTTGAGCCGTCACCATCCGTAGATACTGTGAAAAACGCGCAAGCGATTTTTGGAAAGTCTGATTTTGGACTTCGCTTCGGTGATTTCGACTCTCCCTCAGAAGAAAACCATGTTGTCATGGACGTAATGAACGATTTCGAACGAACGCTACCTCAGAACGGCGAAGAGATCTCGACTGAGATCCAGGCGGTAGAAGCACAAGCCTCAGAGACCGAGGCGGCTGGTGCCAATGCCGAGTCGTTAGGAAGCAGATCGATCGCTGATGACGTAAACAAACTTTTGGATACCGCTGCAGTCGCTGCGATGCATCCCACAACCGCAGTTGCAGAACCTGTTTCAGGTAAACGATTGGAGAATTATATTTATGGTAAATTAGAAACATCTAATTGAAGCGGACACGCGTGATGCCAAATTTTGAAAAGATTTTATTTATGGAAATGATCTGATCCGTAAGCAGGTGCAGTACGTTAGTACATCCTTGTCAGTGAAGCTTCGATGAGCTGTGCTGCGAAATGTGTTTTCGCAGCAACTTAAAAAAATGTTCAGACACCGATAGTAATCATTAGGTCTGTAGTTCTACTTAATTGGTTTTCATTGCGTAATGGCTTGAGGGAAGTAATTGCAGAAGCAGTCATAACAGTAATAATGTTGCACTAATAGATTCAGTACTAGTAGTGAGTAGTATTAGCACATAGCAGTATTAGTAGCAGTTGAACTTTTAGTAGTAATAGTGAAATTTGTCAGTTCTTAGCTTTTTTTTCTACCCATTGTTGCGATACCTGGTGTTTTCTTGACTAACGATTACGAAGACAAGCGAGAAAAAAATGGTATTTGTGATATGTGAAAAAGTTTTCCCATTTGGGCTTCCTGTCATGTATCAAGGAAAGATGCGACTGCTCATTTAAAGATGGTCGTCGAAACCAACTGACACTGACTGATTAAGTGGCGGCTGGAAGAAATTAACAGTGTCCAATGTGCTATTGCTAGATGAAGCTACTCACGATTTTTCAATGTTTGCAGATGATTTTGACATTATTCGCTGCTTCCCTCTTCCTAGATGTTCCATCACTCTTTGGCAGCAATCATTATTACAAAGAGCAAGGTTTCCAAGTAAATGATAGTTCGGCCGTGTTTTAAGATCTGCTGTGCATGACTGCATGTTGCAGTGGTGCGAGGAATATCTCTCATGTTGCCAGTCATGCATCACTAGAGGTCGCTCACTTGTTTTCGCAGCAGCAGCACGAATTTCTACGCTGAGAGTATGTTAATATAGCAGCAAATCCAGTAAACAAGTTTCATCGAACAGTGATAATGGCAATGCCAGTGATAACGTTGACAACGTTAGAGTAGTGATAGCTGCTGGAATAATAACAATAGCCATGGCAAGAAAGAACAAAACGGTAGTGATCGTAACAGTAATATTAATGAAAAAAATCAGTGGAAATAGAACACTTGTAATGACGGTAATCCTACTAGGAAAGTAGTCATGTGAATGGTAGTTGCAACGACAGTTACACGCAACAGTTGTTATAGTAAGATTACACTCTTAGCAGTACGGATAATGACACTAACAGCAGAAAAGGTAGTGATTGTAACTAATAACACTAATAACAATGACAAGTGTAGTAAAATGTTCAAAAGTCGCAATAGCTGTAGTACCAGCAGTAGTAATAGTAACTGTCGCAGTGGCAAGCAATACTCGATGACTTTTCCTT